ATTTTGACAGAGTTTCTCCTGAAAATAGAACAAAACCAACCTGAAAATTTACAAAAGACCCCATACAATAATTAATATCAAATATTTGGGAACCACCAATTCCATCAATACCACCACAACTAAATCAATATGAAACTAAACTTGACTGAACACTTCTATATCAAAACACCGTGTTTAGATGCATACATGCATTACAAACATTGTACAACCTATCGACGAAGTGAACATTAAACAAAATATCAAACCAAGTGTTTTGTGAATATGAGTCCCCAACTAAACATTTAAATGCTACGATATGGTTAAGATCATACAACGTAATGATGGATAGTCAGGCTCTGGACTTCAACAGGCTTTCCAGGTATCTCAAATTCAGCGGCCTCCTAATAGGAAAAACTTGACAAAATATATGAGTTTGTAACTCAGTGAGTGAATAGTTTGCAAAAACATATACTTTTTCCATTTATACATTTTTACTGAAAAATCTGATTTATTATTCTTACAGTTTTTTAAGAAATTTTGATAATTTCTTTTATAACTGAAACATGCTAAAATCATAAAATTCATACTCTTTATTCTAAATAACCAACTGTAAGAATATGTCAAATATAGACAATCTGATATCAACATAAATCTGTGTAAATTTGTGATTTCTGTAAGTTAAAATGGTATTTCTGTAACTAACTAAGCTGAATTTTATATGCTGAAATGAACTATTATCTGATATTTGAAATCCTGTGAATCTACAACTGAATATAGATAAATGAGATAACAAATAATCACACCAAGAAGTACCCAATGAATAATCTTATTCATGTATAGAGTAATCTCGATGTTCAAGGCAAAGTCATTCAAATCTGATAATCTGGTTATACGTACGTAGAGCTGCCCCAAAGGTAAATCACCCTAGTACAACGCCCAAAGCCTATGTGTGTACGAGATTGGGTCCTAAAGACATCTGATAATCTGACCATACACTGTGGAAACACATTCACATCAGTGCAGAGTGGATAAAATCACTGAATCTGGTCATACACCTTGGAAACACATTCGCATCAGTGTAGAGTAGGTAAAATCACCTGGGTACTTACTGATGGTTTTAAAATAACTTTAAATATGCTGAAATATATAATATGAATATAACATACTAGATANATGCTGAACTATATAATATGAATATAACATGCTAGAGAAATAATTTCAATGAACTAGATTTAACTTTTAAAAGTAAAGTGACTACAAAAATCCATTTGATTTTGGAAATCATGCCGTCAAATCAAATATAGGTAATAATTAACTTTCGGATATAATATATATTTAATAAATATTTATTTCTGAAAAATAAGGATTTCCACTCACAAAATACGAGCTACAAGCTAGACTGACTGATATACGTTTCCAATCTCCTCGTCACCACCTGAAATACAATATGAATAATCAATTTAACAGCCACCAAAATAAGTAGTCTTAATATTAAAATACAACCTCTTAGAACTTAATTCCTCCATACTTGAATAAATTCCCCAAATTATCTTTTTAATCAATTTGAGCTAATATCACTTTCTAGTCCATTAACTAATAACCAACTCATCAACAAAACCTTCGATCCGAGCATATATACAAATACCCACCTCAATCTAATGACAACTAGTAATCATCATTTATCCCATTAAATTTTCCTCTTCTTCCATAAATATATACTTCCAAGTAAATATTTCATCATCACAATTGTTTTTCACAAATATCCTTACTTAAGAATCAAATTAGAAATTCTAGGGTTTGCCCAAAAATAGAGTTTCTTACCTTAAATGTAAATGGAAGCTAACCATCAAGAAACTTGAACTAAAAATCGTAATATTTTACCTACATTTGCAATTTCAAGCCTAGTTAAAACCCTAGAAAAATTGACATAATATAATCCTATGTCTCTTGAAAAATTAAGATAAATCAAACCCAAGATTGAGGAAATCGGCACTTACCCCTTTTTCCTTCCTTTTCTTCTTCTTCTTTCTCCTTCTTTTCCTTCCTTTCCTTACTTTCTTTCCAAGCCCGTTTCAGGCCAGTCTCTCTGCGTGTAAGTGTGGAGAAATGAAAAAAGGAAATGGGCTTTAATTTAGTAAAGTTATGGACTTATTGCAAAAAGGAGTCCCTTAACTTTCCATGATAATATAAATAAGTCCTCAAGTCCAAAAATAATCCATTTTAACCCTCATATAATATCCATTATTGTTATGGGCTTATTGCAAAAGGAGTCCCTTAACTTTCCATGATAATATTAGTAAGTCCTAAATTCCAAAAATAATCCATCTTAACCCTCATATAATATCCATTATGGAATAAGTCCCAAGAAAATTAATTTGCTTTACTTAAGTCCTCTTTGACTATGATTTTGACAATTTCATATTTGACTTTTGACCAAAAGAAAATTGATTGTAACATGATGGGTTCAAATTTGCTTCATAAATCCATCCATATACCATAGAAGGTTTGACTACGATTTTTGGAAGGTAATTATCAATCTTAACCCCCCAAACATCACCATCTTCCAAATCCTTAACAACTCGCAGACAGAAATTTGCAGACTTCGGAATCAACTTCTTCGTAACATGCAATGCAATGACTTTTGGTCTTTTGGTATTCTATTATCTAGATTCTAGTGGATGCAAGTATGATGATCTTGCTGAGATGATAAGCGTCAAGATGAAAGAAAAGACTTCTTGCTTAAAAACTTGATTTCGATGTAGGTGATCACGTGGCCCCAGTGAAGATAAAGAATAACAATTCACATATGTTCTATATGGAGCTAAAGAAGAAGGATCCCTGAATTACGGCATATGCACCATGTGTTGAAGTCGTGGTTGTGTCCAACCAGGCAACCAACACGCAGTATTTGGTGAAATTTCCTCGTAAGTTTTAGTGGTTGAGCATTTTGCTGAACTAAACTTCAAAACAAGAAAATGCTGCTTGCTCAAAAGAAAAATGGCCAATTCATTATGCTGGGCTCGACCATCAACATCTTTGTGCACTTCAAAAGATCTCCTTCATAAAATATGTCTCGCCCACAAAGGATAACTTAAAGCATCCATTTGAAGAAACAAAAGCACACAAGATCTTGTTATAAACCATGAAACACTCAAATTACAAGACAATTGTTTTTAGTCCCATATTTACAAATTTACAATCCGAAGATATCCTCAAGATGGTTATTAGAAGTATAATAAACGAAAATATTATGTCACTTTTTCTTTTTATCTTCTTTAACTCTTTCAAGAACAACAGGAGCAGCTGGTATGCTGAACCGCCACTCTCTCAATCTTCTCATCCACCTTTCAGTGCTCTCTCTCCTAAGAGGTGAGTATTTTGTAAATGTTTCAAGAAAAGTGAGTAGAACAATGTACTTTACGGGTAACAATGCCAGCAGTAAAGCCGTGGCCAAGAGTGCAACAGCAATTTTTTGGGATAATGAAGGATTTTGAAGGTCGATCTTGAACTGGAGAATGATTTTTTGGGATCCATCTTGTAGTTCTTTGAATGATGAAGATGATAGAAATTGGGGTTTTTCGTTAATCTTTGGTTTGATGGTGAGGACGTGATTCTATGTCATTCTGGACGTGATTATGGGCATGATTTAAGTTGACTTTGTGACAATGCCTGTTTAGTGGAGCGATTTTAGCATATAAATTCATTAATTTTAAAGATTAAAGTGATTTATTGGTTTTTCATTTTACTGCACCAATTGTAGTATTTTTAGATTAAAATAAGTTGAAATGTAAAATTAGAAAATGTTTCCATTTAATAGTATTGGGTGAAATTTCCTCATTTTTTTTTTAAATCTCTATAATATGTATACTGTGAGTTGAGCCTATCTCAATCCCACATAGGGTCTGTGCCTTGCCCCAACAAGTGCGCGATAATATGGCCTTGTGGGTTTTGATCCAACCCACTAAGATGTCCACCAAGCACATTCGAGAAGCATTTATAAACGATTAAAATATAAATATATAAAATGAATAATACTATCTAGAATCACTGTTACTGAACACTAATTTGGGTGGTTACCCTTAATAGGTCCAATTAAATGAATAATTTAAATTTGTATTTAAATGAATATATCGTTTAATATCATTTAGTTACCATTTAGACTAGTGCTGAACACTAGTGAAACTGAATAAAATTATTATAATAATGAGTAGTAATTAAAATGTATGGATAAAGAGTGGTTTGAGTGTTTACAAATAATCATTTTAACTTTCAAATGAGGTTGACGTTTTTTAATTTTCCGATATTTTTATAATTCAAATTTTCAACAAATAACGTGTTTCGAACTCCAAAGCGACTTACTTTCGTCATTAGCATTCATTCATAATTGATTTCAAACCACCAAATATATCGTGATTATCTTCTCATGGAGTAAATCACATTTAGCTTTTCAAAGGCCCTAAGGCTCCAACTTAAATAATTGGTAAGAATATTTCTACTCTCCGTCTAAAGTTAGTAATAACTTTTTAGGATGAATAATAGTGTCAGCGGAATATGTGAATAATAAATAAATAGTAATTAGAAAAGTGTGAATTTAAAGTAATGTTATGAAGTTTCGCTGGATTGCAATATCAGTTTAGATGGCACTAAATGATAGGATAAATAAAATGTAAAATTACAACTCATCATTTAATGCCTCGTTGGTGGCACTTAGACTGCTGTTGCAATCTCATTGGGGTTAAATAACGTTACTCATGAAATTAATATGAGTTTGAATTTATGAAAAATGGAATTTATTAAATAACTTTTTGAAAATCACGAACGGTGGCTAATTATTTGTCTTTATTTGACAAACTTATAAATTATTTATAATTTGGTCAAACTTTATTTTCAATCACACATTCCAATGAAAATCCAAATGTTACTCATTCTTTTTATCTATTTATAAATTCTTTTCTAAAAAGGGCTATATCATTTATAACCAACATAAATATTTATTCATTCACACGCAAGTCACAAGTATAATCATATTTGATAGGTTCAATTAAATGAATCATGTGATATTACATTAAAATGGGTCTATATTTATTAATATTTGAAGTTTTAACCTAAATTGGTGTTTGAGATTAGTGATATTAAGTAGCATTACTCATAAAATGTTGGGGTAAAGGACATTGACAATACATAGGAAAGAATAGGGTGAGGGACCATATTTCCATGGTCCAATCATTCAGCCTGTAACACACTTGTGAAATCTCCTGAACTTATTGCACTTGAGATCTCCACACTTACTCTGACTCTTCAATTGCAAAGTACAACACACCCTCACAGGAAGAAAATGTCACCAATTTGATGAGCAGTGGAACAACTGTTCTGTCCAACTCTAACTCTTGTAGCTAACTAAAAGTAGTGGATTAAAGTATGAATTAAAATTTAAGTTAAAAATAATAATTAATTTTAATCATATATCTTATTAGACTCAAAACTTCAAAATGAGACTCACAATTTTCCATCAACGCATTCATCATTTTTCTATCAAAATTTATTAAAATTTTAATTTTGAACTACACCAAATCAAACTAGTTTGATTCCATATATAAACAAGTGTCCCACGTTGTGTAACAAGAATTAATATAGTGTCTGTCTGACTTCAATTAAAATCAGAAGAAATAGCTTTTTTTTTTTTTTTTACCGTTATATTCAAACAATTGGGGCCAATTCTCTCACAATTGGATAAAAAATGGAGGCTACAACAGTACAACGTTCCGAATTTTTATTAAAAGCAGAAGCAGACAAGGCCATAATAATGTTTTTAAATTGCAATTCAAGAATGATTTTGTTAATAGAATGAGTTGGTTTTGAGTTAGGGCTCTCTCAAATTATTTTAAACGGTGCACTTCGAGAAAAAGCTAAAAAATATTCAAACCGAATCATTTACTCTCCTTATTATCTAGTCTAAACCTATTGTTAACGCTTGCTAAGAGTGCTGAAATGCACATGATCAATAAACTCAAATGGTTACGTCAAAAATTGTGTTAAAAGTTAAAAAAAACAAGCCTATATTAGTAAATAATTTCACCCATGTTCTTAATCAACATAAAAAAATTTATAAAAACTGAAAATAATAGAAAAAAATGGTATTTTCATCTTCTCGAATATCACCACGCCGGATTCAATGAATCCATTCGCGGCATTTAAACAATTGATAACTCAGTCTCGATTTTAAACTTGATTTGGATGACATTGAGGGTCTAAATTAGATGAAATTTCGAATTGCTATGTTTATAGGAAGAGAACAAAAATATTACGTTTGAGTTCCACAACATTTTAACAAACATGTTTGATTTGTTATTACAAAATGATGGGCTCCATATACTCGAGTAAATATCACGACCGAATCTTGAATTTCCTATAGCAGTCAAAACTCATAATTTAAATGAACCAAATAAAATCCCACTTTAATCACGCAAATCTTATCCTATTAATGACACTTTCACAAATTAATATCTTTTAATTCCAAATTTAATATTCTCTCCAACGTCTGTTTACTATGAAAAATGATGGAAGTACATAAAGAAAATGACAGATTTTTTCCAGAATTTTGAATTTCTCTCACACGAGACGGGGCCCACACGAATTAAATATTATTAAAAACAATGAGACCCACGTGTTATGTGTATTCTGTCCATTTTCGGTGAAAAATTCCCAGTACCCATAGCATCATTCGTTTACTAGTGTAGTCACTCGAGTATTAACCAATCAATACAATCAGTTGCACACAAAAACGAACATTCCCACAGTCGTCGGACTCTTTCTTCTATCAAGAATTCCTCCACCTGCTCCTCCTCTTGATCCGCCGTATTTTCTGTGTAGCCTTGCCGTCGACATCCAGCCCTCACCTTCTCGGTTTCTCCCACGCTCTTTTGAGGTATTTTGGTGATTCCTTTTTTGAGTTCTGTTAGATTATTGCATAGAAACTGAAAAGTATTGAAGACTTAAAATTTGTTTAATTTTTATGCTTTATAGGCGGGTCAAGGTGCAGGTGAAATTATTGGTGAAGGAATGACTAGACAAATTTTGCGGCGGGCACCGCTGTCATCGGTGTACAGGCGGCAACCGCTATTGAAAAATCATGACTGCTCGTCGAGAAGCGGCGTATCATTTGCGGAGGTGGCAGGTGGGACGACGGCGGAGTGTGCAGCAGTATGCTGCTGTTGTCCATGTGGGTTAGTGAACCTCCTGGTGTTGGTAGCGTACAGGTTGCCGGCGGGCTTGTGCCGGAAGGCGTTGGGGAGGAAGCGCCGCCGTAGACTGATCAAGAAAGGGCTTTTGCCGCAGCGCCAGTGTGGATGTGACGATACTGAACCCCAAATCCAACCCATATCAGGGCATGGTGTAGAATCACATTCAGACAGGGATATCATTGAACTCGAGGAAGAAATGTGGGAAAATTTTTACAGTGCTGGCTTCTGGAGGAGTTCTTCACGAAGAAGTGAAATTTGAACTGTAAAAAGATTACTTTTGTTTTCTTGTTAATTCGCACTTCTGTTGCTTTCTAGATTTGTTTTTCCAATCAAAGAAAGAGCTGTTCTCTTTCTCTCTAAATAGGGAATTTGTGGGGTTGTTTAAGCTTAGCTGAAGGTATTTTTTAGCCAAATTTATAAGTTTTATTATAAACAATCACACATTTTAGCTCATATTTGACGCACATTCTTTTAAAATACATTATTTAACAATTTATTTTTACTTACACATTTTTCAATAAAATAATATTTTTCAGCACATCAATAATTTTTCCTTACTTTTTAACCATATATTTCTCATCATATCACTATTTAAAATACATTATTTTCTCAATAATATTCATCAAACACACCCTTATGAATCAGCGAGAATTATTCACTCATGTACAATTTTTTTTTTTTATTGATTAAAATGTTTATAATTTCTGATCAACGGCTTAGCTAAAGTTACTTTTTTTTAATGAAAAAGTTATTTAAAATAATAATAATAATAAATCTTAGTCTTAGTTTGGAAGAATTAAAATAATAATTTGGGCTGCGAGTCCCATAAAATGTGTAAAACTCTTACAGAAAGACACTGACAGTTTTTCATTGATTTTAACACAACAAACACAAAAAATATACCATATAGATGCTACAGACGCAACACTTGTAACGTTTCTGTCAATAATTCCGTTTACCTATGGAATTATTCTAAATGTTTAGATAAACATTATAGAAAAGTCAAACATGCTTGAAGGTTATGCAATGCAAATTGCATACAAGTCGATAAATTTGCAGTTGAATTGCACGAGTATAGAGATGACAAAATAATCTGTTTTGTATTTCCCCTCCTTGATGGTAAAAATAGATTTACTCCCCCCCAATTCTTTGAACTCTTTTATTTTATTTTAACACTTATATTTTTCAATTTAAATGCATTATAAGATATTGTTAAAATAGTAAATAATTAATTAAAGGGGCAATTAATGAGAATTTTTAACTCCCGTCCCGCCTCCTGAAAATTCCTGCAAAATGGGAATAGTGACGACTATTCGCCATGTTCCCATTTCTACACGAATACGAATCAAAATAGACATCTTGTACTCGCACCAATGTCCAATCAAAGAATAAAAGAACAACTTTATAAAGCTAATGAAGGATCAAAATATGCCCGTTTGACAACCGTTAAAATAAAACTTTTTTTTTCTCAAACTCATTTTCAATCACACTTTTTCTGTTTTTCACAATAAAATATTTTTCCTACTTTTTAACCACACGTTATTCAAAAAAAAATACTATTCCAAAACCCATTTTCCTAAACAAAAGCTCATGCAAATGAAAATTTGTTTCACTAATCTGCCTTTTTTTTTTAAATAGAAATGAAAGTTGTCACTTGTCAAAAAATCTACATCTACAATATATATAGGCCCTATTTGGGAGAAATTTTAATCAAAATTCTAGCTGTTAACTATCAAATCAACCACCATTTTTTAATTTATCTCTCACAGGTAGGGCCCACAGGTTGACTATAACGGCTATAATTTTGATTAAAATCCCACAAAAATTGCTCTCAAATACGCTCATAAAGTGTGGATGAGTGAGAAGCATTCGATCGACCATTTTGTCCTTATATTTTTTTTATTTTAAGATTTTATAATTATATTGGATCAAATATTCACAACAAAAACATTAAGAAATAAAGGATTATGAACAACGAATATCAGAAACCAACTAAATAATAGTTGAGTGAGTAGAAACAACAATTAACAATTCAAAACGAAAATCTCGATTTTTGAAACAATTTAACTGAAATTTAAACAACCTAAAGGCCAATTTTAACATTAAATTGATACAATTGGTTTGTCATCTATGGTTCAATATTATATTGATAAAAACAACAATTGATTTCACATTATGGATACAATATATGTGTTGCGGACTGTCATCTACGCCAACCCAGCTGCCCAATTTTAACACTCATGGGCGGATGCTGAACTTTAACGTTGGGGGCACAATCGAACTTGCAAAGAAGTTGGTAGAATTTTTACAATTGAAAATTTAAGTTCAAAAAAATCATACTCCATGTAATTTTACATCTAAAAATTTACATGAGATATGACTTTTTCGAATTTAAAATTTCGAAATCTTTTGAAAATTTTCTAATAAAATGATGAAAATTATATTGAGAAATTTGTATCGCAAAAATAGTAAATGTTAATGAAATAATTGATTTTTTGTTTAAAAAAATGCGAGTTAGACGTTTTTTTAAAGGTTCACGTTTAACGTATTTTTAACTGTTTTCGATATATGTTTGAACTATTCGATATGTCCATAATGTAATTCTTGAAATAAGTTTCGAAATGATACAAATAATTTGTAGATTCGATTAGCGTACAATCGTCGGAGAATTTTTAAAATTTGTATATTTCTAAATTCAAATTTATTTTTGTTTTACTTCTGTTTG